TTATTATTTATAGATATTATGTGTATGAGAATAGACATCTTACATAATACTTACGGTTTCACAGAAGAGTTATACGAAATAGGCACCACAGTGTTCAATAAATACCCAATCGTTTGAATTTTTTGTCTAATTATGTACACTTCAGTTGAATTTACTTTTATATGAAATATTACTGGCATGTAAACAAAGTCTTTAACAAATTTTGCTCTCATTTCTATAATGAAACTAAAATTTACCATTGGCTGAGAATTTCTTGGTTCAATTTTTTCAACAGTTAGTATGGGAGTTTGTGCTAGCTGAAATAAAGTGATATTTGTATAAAATAGACAAGTTCCTGAATAAAGCATTGATAGATTGAATAAAATTTTAGTGTACAATTATTTATATATCTATATAGTTGAATGGCAGTTTAGCATTTCCAGACATGATTGGCAATTGCAAAGTGTGAGTAACTAGGATTGAATAATTCGATTTTATTTCATGGGAGATATAATCAAGTTTTCAGCTAATACTGATTTGAATGGTGCAATAAAACGACAGAGATTTTTCGTTATGGAGTTAAGGAGATTAATGAGATGGACGAAATAAAGGATCAATAAACAATTGCAAACAATTAAACAGCCGGAAATTCCAGGCGACCGTCTCGTCCTAGTATTACGCTCAGCAGCACTGGTTTCATTTCCATTCCATTTGACGAAAAATCTTTAATGCGGCAACTAATAACGAGCATCGTGGGTGAATCCGCGACCTAAGTATTTTTACTAATGAAGGACTAGTGGATCTTTCTGTGATTATAAACTTCACCTTTTGTCCTTGCAGGGCTAATGTCGGTCCCAAGCTCGCATTGAGGAGGAGGATTGAGCATGGAGTTGACAACCAAATCTCGTACAGTATTAAATCGCTAAAATACTATAACAAATAAAATAACTCAAACCATTTAGAAGAGCTTAGAAGTATCATAAGCAATGCGGCATAGATTCGAGAGTCCATAGGCCGTCGACGCCATCTCATAATCACAGAAATGATACTTTCATGTACGTGGGATGTTTGAACAGTGTAAGACAACAGAATGCTATTAGGAGATTCCGCAAAATGAAAAAGCCTAGAATCAAAGAAACTCATTAGACACAATATTGACAACTATTACTAGCTTTGGGAAAGATGTTGTTACAATCAAGCCATGAAGAAGAGAAACATATACAGGCGATTCAGTGATGCAATGAAAACAAACCCAATAGGCAATATGAGGATGAGAAACTCACGTAACCAATATTATCAAAACATCCATCAAAACAGCCAAAAATGCCAATAAAATGAACGACGTCCGATGCTCTGATCGTGAAAAACAAGTAAGTATTGGGCTGTGATCGCAGACATGGCAGCATTTCGAGAAATCGTGCACATTCTCTTTGCTTATGTTGAAGGTGAAGAATGAATGGAATGAAGGAAACCTCATCAAAATATCAAAGTAAGGCGATCCCACCAAGTGTGAGAACTACCGAGTCATCACAAACCTCTGAATAGCAGCCGAATTCTTCAACTGAGTGTTGTGAGACAGAATGAAGGACATCGTAGACGCCCAAACTCGAAATCAAAAGGCTGGATTTCGTAAGGATCAATCTTCAACCGACCAGGTTGTAGGATTACTGATCATCGCGGAACAATCAATTGAATGCAACTCACCACTTTCCATCAACGTCATCGACTACAAGAAAGCATTTGATAGCGTGGACAGGACAACACTATGGAGGCTACTTCGATACTACAGAGTGCTTAAGAAGATACTCAACATCGTAAGTTATTCTTATGACGGATAGATCTGCAACTGGGAGGGGAGAAGCACGGGCTGTAATGGACAGTTAAGGTATAGCTGAACAATCTGGACCAAGCAGATAATCGAGGTTACCTATCGGGAACGGAACAACAAATAAAACGTAGACGAACAGCGTAGCAGTAATCTAAGCGGCAGCAGCAGGGATCAGCATATATCGGGGGAAATTCTTGTTTCACCGAAATAACACAAGTTTGAACCCTCAATTTTGAGGGCAAAGGTGGATGAGCAAAGAACAGTTTACGCCGAGAAGCGGTCAGGAATGAGAAGAATGAAAGAAAAGTAAACAGGACTAGAAATAGATGTCAAAGGCAGTGTAAGTTGGAGAATGCTTGTCAAAGGACTTTGCTCAGTTGGAGATTACTGGCGTAATCAATTAGTAGGTATTTAATTAGTAAACCTAGATGACATGAAATGGATTCCAGAATCTGATCATTTGACACCTAAAGATTATGGGCACATACCTAACATTCCTCTTATCTTCTGGAAATCTACCAATCAGACGAAACTATGCTTCAAAACATGTTACATTAGGGAAATACGGTTCAAAAATACTGAGAAATTAAAAGAGGAAATTTTAACTTACTGGAGTAGAAGAAGGTGGATTCACCATTGACGTAACAGGGAGTGTTATATAAGTTGCACTTATAGTCTGTGTACTTGAGAAAAGTATAATTTGTAATTGCGCTACATCACCCTGGACGTACGGTGTGCTGTAACACAATTTTATTCCAACGCGAAAATTATAAGTAACGTCCCATGAATTAGTATTTTTAAATATACCAATGAGTGTACGGCTTTCCATTATCATTCCGTTTGATAGGGTGTATTCGGTTAATAATCTGACCTGCAATATTCGGAAGATTTTTTAACTCGGAATTATATATCAGAACATTTTATCATGCTATGTTCATGGAATATAGTAGAGGGAATTTGTGGAGATGATAAACTTTTCGTAGTTCAAACGATGATCTGATCGGATAACGAAAAATCACTTGATAAATGTTTATTCTTTGTGTAGGACTCCTCGGCAGTGGAATTCCCCAGTACCACAATCGAGAAACGTATTCAAACTGGTAGGCCTTGCACGGAAGTAGCAAATAGCAATATCAGCAAGCCTGTCTACTTTAGGCTTCAACCACACTTATCACCAAGCTACCATCCAAATTTTTAAACCTATGAAAATTCAACTGGTTCTGAATACTGATAATCAGGATGTACTGATCAGTAAAGTTTGCGTCCCTGATCTTTAGACTTAGTACGTATTGAAAATACCGAAAATTACAACCTAAAGGAATATTCACTAATCAGCTAGCAAACTGTTGTGTTTGTATGAAGATGAAACCAGCAGTTTTTGAAATTTATGGCTAGAAAAATATCTGATCTAATCAGACTTACTCCCATCTAATAGGAGAGATTTTCAGCTGAGAGATCAGTCAAATGCTTTATCAATGATGAGAGCTTTGAGGAACAGTTTCGTTCTCGGAGCAGTATGTTTTTGTTGTATAACAAGCAATGGATCAGACGTGCGGAAATTCGAGTACTTCACTTATATCTGATGTTTTTGCTGATGCTGTTCTTCAGCATAACAATGATAGCTACACAAACAAACTCTATCACTATCATCTACATAAGCTACAAGTTTCCTCGACCGTCTCAAGTTGATAGACTTGAAGCGAAGAATGCACTATCTTGAAATATACCGTGATTTATGAGTCCAAAAATATTCAGTTGTCAAACATTATTTATTTTGATGACCACAGAGTGCGAATTTCAGATATCCAGCATTGTCTTTTTTGATACGTCACAAATTTTAAACTTTTATATCAGTGTTCTTCATTCGTTTCTAAATTTCATTCATCTAGCAATTCTTTCACATACACAGCTTTCTTTAAATCTCCAAAGCAACGAGAACAAACATTTTGAAAAAATGACGTCAGTCATGAAGCGAGGTTCTCAATAAAATTGAACTGATGCGTGATCGTAGCTTTTTCAGGGTAAATTATTTCTTGCTGCGAGTAGCTGCCAAAACTCAACAGAACAAAATGATTTCATGTTATATTTGCGCAGATCTTCGATCATGCTCTCTTCAATAATAATCGGTTTCTTGTATCTATATCATCGATCGATCAGTGTTCTAAGAGACTGTTTACAAGTGTTTATTAGGTTTGTTTCTGAAATAGTTGAACTGCGAAATAAACGATTGTAGAAGGTTTGTTTTTGTCCTTGCAGAATAAATGTTCACGTGTTTCTGGTACGGATTTATATTGATCCCGTGAGGTGACCGGAAGTTAAACAGTGTGATTTGATGCTCAGGTGGATTATGAAAATAACAGTCATCGGGTTAAATCAACTCTTAGTCATATCGTTTTCATATATTTGTTACATATGTTGTTTTTCAGTGTGCATTCACTATTTTTTCTACTATTACATCTATCCTGTTATTCTTCATATTCTCATTTTCAATGTGATGCGGTTGTGGGAAAAACGTTATATTATGTTAGTTAATCAATTTACACCTAAACGTTAAGGAAGATCTAAATTATACCTCTCACTAGATAACGAAATTCGACGTTCCTTAACGAGAAACCTCACAAAAGTAATTCACTTGTTAAATAAACTTTTGAGGTGCCTTATTATAAATCGATATGATTAATACTCAACTGAAATACAATCATACTGACACTGAATAATAATCAAGGTTGACTATGAACACCATTGAGAACTAATTACACTTTCGCCACCACTTATAATCCGTCCGTGAATCGAAGACAGGGGGAAGATTTATTACGGAAAAAGGCTTATATTAGTTAGCGATCTCGTGTCACCGGAAGAATGCCGAGATATTGATAAATGTAGGGTGTAACTACCTTGACCTGAGTAACTAAACAAACCAACCTGAGAACTAAACAAACGGAATGTGTTCGTACGGAGCGCTGATTGACAAAAGTTTAGTAAGACAACCACTGGTATATTCGGATATAAAAATAAATGTTTCCATTCAAACAACCGCGTTTTCTTCCAAACATGGAGTAATTAAAACGCTCACAAAATTTATCGTTATTTATCAACGTCATTTGAGGACATTAGTTTTCCAATATACACTATTAGATTTAGTTCGCTGTTATTAAAATCAGTGATGAACTATTGAAAATGGAAATGTCTATAACTATATTAAACTTGCTTTCTTCGCATTATATTTTTCTGTAATCAAATAATCCACGGAACTCTGTTCGGCAGTTAGTTTACCTTGATTACTCATTCGGATACCATATATTCCTGCTGTGAACGGTGTCATAGTCAGTTGAATTGTGAAGAATTGCAATTTTTCTGCTTCATATTTCATTGGAGTATCCGTTATTGTAATGAAGTTATTTTTATCCTATTTATTGCAAGAAAATAGGTTAACGAATTTCTTACTGACTAATTAGCAACCTTACATTAATAGGAGTTGAAAACCAAGTGACAGCGCTCTCACAATAGTTCACTGTAGAAGACTTTCCTGATGGTGACATCTTTGCTTCAAACTTAATAGATCGTAAACTTGATGCCGGGATTATTATAAAGGCTGTTAGACGAACTGATCGATTGTATGCTGGCAAAGTGTTGTCATAAACCCCTGACAAGAAAAAAATTTAAAACGATTATAAACAAGTACACGGTACAAGTACACAATGCAAAGAATAAAAATTATCATTAGTTGGTACAGAGGTGCTGGAAGTGCATCGAAAATAAAATCATTTAAAAATAAATAAATCCTGATCGTTTTTAGTGAAGCAAATCTGCGAAAATGTAGAAAAAAGCCTTCATGATAAGTAGTTATGCATTTTTCTTATTTCTGTTCACCAGACCACTGACCTCTGCAGATCCTGCCAGTCCAAAGTTCTATAACGGAGGAGGGATGAGCATGAATTTGCCCGCCTTATCCCGTAGAAAGATAACTCTGAGATCAAATCTACTACAACAGGTATTTCAAACTACTTAAACTGTCTCTTGGAATTTAGAAGGTCTTCAGTTTAAATAGTCATCATTTTTCATCCTGAACACCCAGTTTGTTTTCTAAATTCAGTAGGTCGTTACGCCTTCCGAAAATCAAAGCAATAATTCATTTTGCTACACAGAATTCTCGAACAAAGTAGCAGACAGCAAACGTGTTCCAAATCGCTGAAGAAATGAAAACATACAATCTGGTAGTGCATGGATTCAGAGAAACATACTGAAAACATGTGGGACAACAAAAGCTAGTCTCAGGAGATCTGTTGTAATATTCTTTACACGATGAAATTAATGCTTCACATACGTAAAGCTTAGACCTGATGTTAAACAAACAAACGCGAAACCTACTAAAACGATGGAAATCCCATAATCCACGGATCGTCTCGGTCTTCGTCAAGACAAAGAAATATGGCAACACAATGAACTTAACTTAATACTATGTACCTCATGGCTACAATGAAAACTCCAACGATCAATCCTATGAGGAACTGGCGTCAATCGTCGATAGATGTCGATCAAAATATTTCACCATTCAGATAGGACAACTAAATGTCAATGTTAGAATGGACAACCCCGGCTATGAAGACATCATTGAACCGGCTACATTGAATGGTGGGATTAGTCCTATAAGGCACAATATTACCACGCTAATGTAAACACAAAACTACATGGATTTTTCTGGATCAAACTACAAAAAAACCAAATCGACCATAACTAAATGAATAAAACTTTTAAAAGGACGATCGAAAACGTTAAGACTAATAGGCGAGCTTGTTGTTAGCCAAAATGAAGCCTCAAGTAAGGAAAAACTAAGGTACGAGTTTGAAAGCATCTTTGTAGTCCGAAACAGACTATTGGAAATACCGGAAATCTCAACGAATCGACAATGACTGAAAGTTAAAGGTTGCAAGCATTTCACGATCTACATAATCAGAGGACAGCTACCATTGCGAACAACTGGAAAGAGATCAATGATGCAATCACTTCAAAATGTCAATAGTTCTGGGCCACAAGAAATACCATCAGAGTAAATTGATCTCTGTTGCAACTCCTGGAAACCTTCTGTGAAGAAGTATGAAGAAGACAACAATCGATAGCAGCCAAACAGCGACAGCAAATGGTATGAGACAATTGTCCATAAAGCAGAACCAAATCAGCAATTGAAGGTTTGAATCGCAGATGGCAAACGTATGTGAACAATCATGAAGTGACGGCAGAAGAGGCTATAGGAGAAGGTAACTTCAGAAGGTTGTAAGACAGGACAAAGGGGCCAAATTGAAGTTTTAGGAAACCAGTACCAATAGTGTAAAGCGACGAAGACACAGTAACCACTAACATTAAATCACAGCGCAAAAAGTGATTACAGCACTTTTGGGAACTCCTGAGGCGAACAGCCAGACTGTAACTACTCAACATCGAAGCGGCATCCACACACGTCTCAATCACTGTTAGCACACCAGCGACAAAGGAGATCAAAAATAGTCATCTGACAAATAAACAGCGGCAGGGCACTGGCACCGGACAAAATTCCTGCACAGGCTGTGATAGCAGACATGTGACTATGGACTTCACCTGTTGTCCTTGTAGGGCTAATGTCGGTCCCAAGCTCGCATTGAGGAGGAGGATTGAGCATGGAGTTGACAACCAAATCTCGTACAGTATTAAATCGCTAAAATACTATAACAAATAAAATAACTCAAACCATTTAGAAGAGCTTAGAAGTATCATAAGCAATGCGGCATAGATTCGAGAGTCCATAGGCCGTCGACGCCATCTCATAATCACAGAAATGATACTTTCATGTACGTGGGATGTTTGAACAGTGTAAGACAACAGAATGCTATTAGGAGATTCCGCAAAATGAAAAAGCCTAGAATCAAAGAAACTCATTAGACACAATATTGACAACTATTACTAGCTTTGGGAAAGATGTTGTTACAATCAAGCCATGAAGAAGAGAAACATATACAGGCGATTCAGTGATGCAATGAAAACAAACCCAATAGGCAATATGAGGATGAGAAACTCACGTAACCAATATTATCAAAACATCCATCAAAACAGCCAAAAATGCCAATAAAATGAACGACGTCCGATGCTCTGATCGTGAAAAACAAGTAAGTATTGGGCTGTGATCGCAGACGTGGCAGCATTTCGAGAAATCGTGCACATTCTCTTTGCTTATGTTGAAGGTGAAGAATGAATGGAATGAAGGAAACCTCATCAAAATATCAAAGTAAGGCGATCCCACCAAGTGTGAGAACTAACGAGTCATCACAAACCTCTGAATAGCAGCCGAATTCTTCAACTGAGTGTTGTGAGACAGAATGAAGGACATCGTAGACGCCCAAACTCGAAATCAAAAGGCTGGATTTCGTAAGGATCGATCTTCAACCGACCAGGTTGTAGGATTACTGATCATCGCGGAACAATCAATTGAATGCAACTCACCACTTTCCATCAACGTCATCGACTACAAGAAAGCATTTGATAGCGTGGACAGGACAACACTATGGAGGCTACTTCGATACTACAGAGTGCTTAAGAAGATACTCAACATCGTAAGTTATTCTTATGACGGATTGATCTGCAACTGTGAGGGGAGAAGCACGGGCTGTAATGGACAGTTAAGGTATAGCTGAACAATCTGGACCAAGCAGATAATCGAGGTTACCTATCGGGAACGGAACAACAAATAAAACGTAGACGAACAGCGTAGCAGTAATCTAAGCGACAGCAGCAGGGATCAGCATATATCGGGGGAAAATCGTGATTCACCGATACAACACAGCACGCGTCATCGCAATCGCACTTGGTGTACATGATTTTGATAATGCGATATCTTTTAAATATCAAGGCAGAATGGTCGATAATTGAAGTCAATCTGATGCATATATGAAAGCTGAAAGCAAAGGCTGCATTTTCATGGTTGAGTAAAGTTTCCGGCTCAAAACATCTACTAACAAACACCAACGTCAGCATTTATGATACTCAAGTTAAGATTTACACTTTTTGGAGAGGTAACCTTTAGTTAGACAGTCTCAAGACAACGTGTGTTAGATAATGTCCGTTGGTGGTCTTTGCTCTTTCGGGGTTTTTTGATGTCATGTTTGGGTTCAGAAAGATTCCGTTTAATAAACTTTATTTGATTTGCTTCTTTATATATTGATCTCTATTTCATTACAGCTACCGCTACAAACTGTAAACAACAGTTACGATATTATTAGAGGTAATACTGAATAACCTTTGGGCTTATGTTCCTATATGAATCTGGAATTTCGACGCAATGCTATCATTTCTCTGCTCTCTTCTTTACAGGCACTAAAAGATTGTACATCTTCGACAAGATGATCAACTATCATCAACTTGTGTCAACATGAATTGAACTCATCAGCATTGCACTTCCAATAACGTCACACGTTTAGCCTCAACCCTCACACACGAACGCATTACCTCTAGACCAATGAGTCGGCATCCAACAGCGTAATATCTAACTTCAATCGGGCGACCGTTTCTTCAAAATCAATTGTAAACTTACCGAAATTTTGTAGATTTGTCACACTAACATAACCAATCGTTGTCAGTATCAGATTCGAGAAAACTAGCTGTTCTGTGTCGATTTTATAATCTACTGGATATGCTGAGAATGTTGGAGGGAGCGTCAACGATAAATGGCCGATAGAAGCACTATATTCATCGGTACTAAAAGTGAACTATTAAATAAATAATTTGGTTAACATATATTTGAGAATATGAATTGTTTTCACAAATGTTAAGATGCATTTAGTGAGTCCAAGTAAAATATATTTATATTAAAACAGGTTTATTTGAAATTCGATTCTTGGTTGGATGACAATGAGGCGTGTTAGAAAATTTAAGCTGCCTGTTTCGTTCCAACAACAAATTGATTTAGCAAACTACCTGCTTGTTTTCAACACATTACTTATGAATGTTAATTACATAATCTATTCATGTATATAAAAATATTACATGTACAGAGTTGTGATTGATTTTCATATACTTCGAAAGTTGGTCAAAAGCAGATATTTAATAGCAAAACATATTACACATATTTTCGTCGTCAGTTGAAGGCTTACTTACTCCTTTTACCACAGGTCGAGCATAGTTTTTCAAGCAGCATTCTCCAACCAACTTCTTAATCCGCTCACCCTAACGGTTCTATCCATTTACGGTTGATTCTCTTCACGTCTCCCTCCAATTCATGAAGTAATGTGTTTGACGATCTAGCTTTTCTCTCAAGCATTTTATCATCGGTGGATCTGGTCGATGGATCCTCAGTATTTTGAGTAGACAACGGGTAACAAATACTTGTTTTTTGTGCACGTTAGCTTTCGTCGTCCTTCAATACTCAATCGCGAATATTAGAACTGTTTTGCATTGACTTTGTGTCGGTCGATAGTTGCTTTGAATTTCAGATATTATTCAATATTTGAAATGCCTTTGTTTAATTTATCCATGTCATCCTTCTCAGGAATGTAAAGCTTTCCACATCTTTTGAACTTCCTCCATCATGTGTGATTTGGTTAGTGAACGTTATATTGAAATTGGATTTCATAAAGTGACATGTTTATTACTGATGAAGTTGATAGTTCGAAATTATTGTTTAAACTCTATCAATTTACATACCACATCTATTCAACTAATAAGTATACAAAGTAGATGTTCAACCTATAAAACTTATCAATAATTTAAGTCAACTTTAATCACATATACTCATTGCTGAATCGAAATAAAATCCTCAAACTTTCAAATATTTTTACTTGGTTACGTTTTGATGTATGAAACAGGTTTGATTACCATTTATTCAAGTGTTATGATGATTACTTACTATGTAATCTCCAAAAGGTCTACTTATGAAATAATCAATTGTATATTCATAGACTCCACCGAAATCCACTGTTTGAGGGCAATTTACGAAAGTGACGAGGTCAGATTGCACTGGACAATTTGTACTAACTACCATGGAAAGTTCCATAGTAATCTTCGGAGTTAATAATGCCTCCATTTCGATAATTAAATTGGTACCTTGAGGAAGAATCGGCTTTTCCGGAGAAAGACCAACTTTGAATCTTATCTTGATACTGAAATCATTTGTATTATTAGTAGGAGCAGATGAAACACTGACCCGATACGACATGGTGAACACTGCAGGCTGAGAAAAACATCGATTATCAGTTCTAGTGTGTGAAACTGTTTTGAGAAGTAATACATTGAATAAAATATATTCCATACTTTTCACCAGAAATTTTCTCACAAGAACTGTTTGTAAATAAATACTGAACTAATAATTTCAAAGACAAATACCACTAAAGTTTTAGAGTATGGTTTGAAAATACAGAGAACTACCACCGTCAGTACCAAAACTTGCTGGTACTTGTGAAAGCTGTTCGCGCAAAATACGCCAAATTGTCTGACCATCGGGAATGATCTAATTTAGGAAAAAACGAATCAGTTACCGGTTGAGAAGGATGTAGTGAAAATGCGCTAAAACCGAGCACATATTATTCGAAAACCATTAGGCTATTTCATGCAGCAGAATCTATTACCTTGTGGTCCTCAAAACAAAAGGAAGGAGAGGAAGTAAATGTAACACTTGACAGTGAGAACTGAATGCAGACATGAAGACGATAAATGTCAACTCAATAACAATGCTGATCAATGACGTTCGCACATAGGAATCGAACCTACGACCTCACGTGCAAACGCTTAACCTCCACACCACCGAGTCGGCACCGCTTCGTGGTAATGTCTAACTTCCATCGATGCACGAACTCGCGCAATCTCACACACTATCATCAATGCGCATAAGTCTGTGAGATTGTGGAGAAAATTTGTAGCCTGGGTGGATGATTAGGCTGTTATTTCGTTCTCTGAACTGGATGACTTTGTTGAATGGCTTTCATTATTGCGCCTCTATTGATTAATAAAAGCATCAGAGCACTCAGAGCACATATAACGCATATAATACTTAAGAGAAAATTGGATTTAGCAATATGAAGCTTAGCAGCAGTAAAAAATACAACGAACCCATCACTTCATACACTAATCAGTAACACATCCATTTAGGTATGTCCACATTTTGCTATCGTCACTATCAAGTTTGTAGCTGTATTTTTATCTGGTTTGTTTATAATCGCCAGAAATTTTATTGATCACGTGTTGATTTAGTTCAACCTTAACAGTCATTTGATTAATATCTAGATTGATATTTCGAATGAATACCTATGCTGAATATTGACTATTTGGGTTACTGGTGTGATGCACGCCTACTACTAAAAAACAATGTAGGTTCAAAATAACTGTTTGTATATAAATACTAAAATAAAATTTTCAAGATAAACACCACTAACGTTATAGAAGACGGAGTGAACTACCACCATCAATACCAAATGTTGCCCACACTTGCGAAAAAATGGCCGCGCAAAATACGCCAAACTGTTTGATCAAAGGCAATCGAAAGAAAAATTCAGTTACCGATTGTGAAGGATTTTAGGAAAAAAGGCTAAAAACAGTATTCGAAAACCAATAGGCTTTTTCATGCAGCAGAATCTATTACCTTGTGATCCTCAAAACAAAAGGAAGGAGAGGAAGCACATGTAACACTTGACAGTGAGAACTGAATGCAGACATGAAGACGATAAATGTCAACTCAATAACAATGCTGATCAATGACGTTCGCACCTACAGCCTCACGTGCAAACGCTTAACCTCCACACCACCGAGTCGGCACCGCTTCGTGGTAATGTCTAACTTCCATCGATGCACGAACTCGCGCAATCTCACACACTATCATCAATGCGCATAAGTCTGTGAGATTGTGGAGAAAATTTGTAGCCTGGGTGGATGATTAGGCTGTTATTTCGTTCTCTGAGCTGGATGTTTGGGTTGTACGGCTTTCATTATTGCTCCTCTCCTAACTAACAAAAGCATCAGACCTCTCTTTAGCTAGAGAAGTTATATACTCGGATTTCTTAGTGTATGACTGAAGAAACAAATCAACGGGGTACACAGAAATATTAAATTGCAAACAACTGCTGGTTTCAATTCAGCTACAAACAATCAAGTTCGAGGTCAACGGAACAAGCTACGACTCATACATGCTGAAATTTGTATAATTCGCTTCACTCCCTGATAATCAAGCTTATTGTAATGCCATTCAGAATCAGAACAAGTTAAACAACCAAAACATCTTACTCAGAGAATGAAACTTCACCACAATAGATAAAAAAGTACAACGGAAACGTTGAAATGATAATAATGCACAAAAGACAAAGCGTTCACTAAACTTACCATAGAATGATTGCCTAAATATATGAAATTACTGAACTGAATTGAATAATTATTCACTATATTGCTACCATTATAATAAGCAAATAAATATTCAATATATCCATAATACAGTTTATTGAATGATGGACCAAATAAATTAATCAATAAATTGTGATTTCCTGGTGGTAATATCATCACCATATCAATAAACCATTCATCATAAAGACAGTAATTTGGATTATCTGTGGGATATAGTCGATAAAATTTCACATCAATATTCGTTGGTGGAGTTATAAAAGCCTATAGAAAGAAAGAAAGTACTTTGGACAAGTTTATGATTGAGATTTTGTTCAAAATACATATTTATAATGTTAACTGAACTCGTATTAGTTTGGCAAACAATGCCAAATCTGAATTTGTAAAAATGTTTCTGTCGCAAATTAGCAAAAACACAGATAATCATTGAACAATATTATTGTTTAAATTCGATCGTCATCATGCTTTACTCTATTGTACGCATAGATGTATATATGCATGGACGTTTTTGCTTTGGGTGGAGAAAATTTATAGCTCCAGTAGATAATTGTTCTGAAGTTTCGTTCTATGAGCTGGATGTTTCATCTGAAGAGCTTTCATCGCTCTCCTTCTGACCGAAATCATCATCAGGTGGAGAAGTTGCTGAAAAGTCATGTCACATCATCCAGTGCACATACAGTTGTAATGGGAAGAATAGTGTTGAATTGATGTTATTCCAACTTACGTATAATATTCATTCCATTTAAGTTTATAAAACGAAATAATCATGTAAAATTTCCAACTCATTATTATTAATAGTCATTCTCGTGCAATTTGACACTAACACTGTAAGATACAAATAATTTTTAATCTTAACACATCACTTTAATATTTACATCATTTAGATTACTGAATATATTGAAAACTAAATTCTGAAAGCGATAACTTCAGATAAAATATATTTGTAAAGTGATTTAAATTCTTCCACGATTATTTCCCTCCGTTCAATGTCCAACTTTCAACAAACATAGTTAACTGTGGTTTTATTTATTCTACATGATTTATGAATAAAACAAGTCGAAAGTTCAAAAAATGGAGGAAATATTACACTCTCTAAAATTTATATGTTTCGAAATGTTATCATTGAATGAATGTTGATGAAAGTGTTTCATAAAAATAACAGTATCAATCACATCTTTCAGTATACATTATTATTCAGACGTTATCTAAGAAATAATTTTCGGATCATGAAACCTTTGGACATCGATGTTGTTCCTAATTCAAATAAAAAAGCTTACTGTTCACTCCTAAATTAATTACATTATCACCGATGGATTTGTCGTCAAATTGACAAACCGATTTCAAAACGAGTTGCCAGTTCACCTCTTACCGCAATCATTTTATTACTTTGAAATTCGTCAATTCAGTTAGGAATCTATTTTGTGAAACATTTTCATTGTATTTTGTGAAGTTGAGTTAACTAATAAATTTGTTTTGTCATTCAAACACGAATCATAAAGTGTCATTTGCCAAATAAAGACTTGATGCATTTCTTTAGATGTCACTGCTTATAAGTGACATCATTCAGTCACATGATAGCAGTGATATTAGAGATGAAATTCAATATCTACCCGTTAGTTTACCGACTATGATATAACTCAGTGCAATGACGTTTGAAATGAAATAATTACACTGAATAAATGTCTCACCCTCTTCAGAACAGCACCCTCTGTTCCTGTCTTCTCATCAGAATACCTTTCATTGATTAAAATATTGACCATCGCTTCATCAGATATATTCAAAGAATGATCCACATTCATAACAGTTACTTGGAAAATAAACGGAAATTCATTCTTGATTTCTTCATAAGTACTATTCACTTTCAAAATACCACTCGTTACATTGACAACCACAGGTAAATGTTTAATCAATGGTTGTTTAATACTGAACATCACACTTCCACATGAATTTATTGACGAGTTTTCATCCTTCAGAGAAAGACGACCAATAATGCTTCCATTTTTCCAGTCTGAAGAATTGACTTCAAAATTGAATGTCTGTTGCGTGAACGTTGGTATTCTATGCACTAAAATGTTAAATATACAAAGTCTGAATGGTCTATATTTCATAATGAAAGCAAACAATTTAGTTTAAGCCATAGAATAAAACACCAAAGCTCAAGTATTCAGTGTGAGTGGAGTTTACAAACCCGATATACTTGACAATGATGTTAAGAAAACCTAAGAAGGGAATTTAGACTAAAACAATGTATAATTTAATTGAAATCTATTTTACTAGATTGAGTTTGCAAAATGTTATTGTCTTCAAAACGCTTGAAATTGAATAATTCATTGATATTGTCTACTTGAATCTCATTGTTGATACTTTGGATTGTAAATGATCAGTGTTCATTGACGTATATGAATTCAATGTTCTGATTGTATTTCATTTTAATCAGACGTGAAAGTTAATTATCAATAACATGAATATACAAACGACCAATAAAACTGTGTTGAAATTCTTCCCATTGTACTAGCCAGTTACGAAGTGGCTGATGCATTAGGCATTCGAAACAAAAATACTGATTTCTAGTTCACATGTGAACACTAACACTAGGCTCTAGCTCCATCAAACTGACGGTTCATATAATGAAAAACTTACAGCTAAAGGTTCACACATAAGGAGTAACACAGACAATATTATTGTGACAGATGGTATTCAATTATCCGTACTGTGGCGCATTTTAATTGACAAATAAACTTGTACTCTCTTGATATATATACACTAATTCGGAGAATAACAAGGAGTTTGCCTATTTTCTTCGACCGTTTCGGGTTTCATGAAGATAAATCAACTTGATCAAGAACCATGACACAAATTATATTTGTTTACATTTCTTCATTCAGGCAGCTTATCCGAGAATCAGTAAGAAATCGTGACCAGTGGAGTTCAACCATGTTGGGATGTTAAGCAATACTCAACAAAGACAATGGATTCGGTTATACAACACCGTGTATTCATCAAAGTGAGTCAGCTACACCATTAGATGCTCGCTCAGTGGTGAACAGCTTAGTCACACGAGGTCGAAGGACCTAGGTTCGTAACCCTGGAGGAGCTGGAGCCGACATTAGTCGTTGCGTGATTTCAAAGTAACTCAACAACTTCCACAAGGCTATAGTGAAAGCTTCGAAATCGACCTAAATAAATCCGATGATAAATTAAAAAATCCCTTTATCGAAATCAACCTTTCATCATTTCTTCCTTTTCCCCACAATTTTAGTCAATAATTATCTTCTTTGAAATATAATTCATAATTCTGTTTTTGTAAAAATCAAACTGATTATGTGGAATGTAGATTATATATATATATATGGGGATAGTAGAAACACTGTGGATGAAAAATATATTAACTAACATTGTACGTTGCAAGTTTCACCAGTCCAGCACATGTTACATACACAAAGACCGTTATTGCATTGACCATGGACGCAGTTCCTAAGCAAAACAAAAAAGTGTATGAATAATTGATTTGAAAATCCATGTATTCACAAGTACATTCTAAGTGAAAGTTCATAAGAAATTTTCCACCAGCTTGTAGTGATTTCTTTTGAAGTAATGTTATCACAGCTACTGGTATCCAAATAACAGAGGTACCTCCGGAAAGTTGACTGCTGATTATCATTCTGTTTACTATAGCTTACTGTAAGATGATGAAAACTATTGAAGCTCATTGAAATCATGAACTGATAAGGAAAACTATCATGTGTTCACTAGCGACTAGCTCCATGAATAAATTCTCAGAGCTTCAGTACGAAATCGGGAAGTTGAACTCAGACGGAAACAAGAGACAGTGCACCCGAGACAACGGCTTATGATCAAACAGTATTGTGGACTGATTGTGATCAGAGACTAACACTGTTGGATATCAGTTCGAGGGTCTAGGTGTCAAGCGCTTGCGTGCCAGTCGAAAAATTGTGGGTTTGTTTTCCGTGTGTGGGAGTCGTGGATGCTCACTATAGACTAGTCACAAACCAGAATGAAACGGCTGTTCAGTGCTTCCAGTTTTCATCATATCGATAATATAACATCGATCAATTCATGAATTTTATAAAATTTGAGTTATGTCTATCAATTTCAAATGATCAATATGAAAATAGGAAAAATCGAATAGTGTATTTCTTTTGATACACTCACTGAAAATAATTCCATTGAAAAATAACACTTACTGCGAATTATTCTCACAAGTTGTTGTCAATTCCTCACATAATCTATACGATACTGAATCAATAGGAATATTCATGATTAAAACGAGATTGATTCACTTACATAATACACAGATTATTGCAATCCAGATAGATTTTTGTTCAAGTTTGTAGAATATCGTCATATTGCAATGATGTTATTGAATGAAACAGAATTGATGCAGCATATAGTTGACCATCATCATCATCAGTAGATGTGGACTTGCTTATTTTTAACTCTTCCATCATATAAGTAAATAAATAAATTTATAGTTGAGTAATTGGACAGCTCAACTTATCTCACCCAATCATCAAATAAGGAAGGCATGAATTGAGAAATTCATTATAAATAACAAGAATCTGTCATAACCCAATTTAAAATTATGATCAGTTTATTTAATTGGTCAATGAATAAATATAAATACTTCAATCACGTACAGCAAGGTTAACAACTAACACCGTTTGTCTCATGGTGAGTATGATTATACGTACACTCCATCTTAGAGATATTCATTTATATTTAAACTTAAATATTCCAATGACGTAGTCAGATAACAGAATAATAACAAGGATATTTGATTTCGTGCAAAAGCAGTGATTAGTTTCATTGTCAAAACATGTAACATTGAACAGTTTTCTACAATTTCTAACACATAATTTCAATCACATAGCATGTGCGTGATGTATTTCAGTATTATTGAGGACAATCTAATACATGAATTCATCTGTAACACTTGTTCATTGTTCAATTGAAACGTGTTTATTTAACCTGAACTGTATTGTTTCCAATCACTATTATCCTGTTGAGTGACAATGAGATTTCTTTAAGGTCAATTCAAAGAAAAGTTGAATAGAATTAACAATGAATAGTAAAGGTAAGAATTAAATTATAAATTAATTTAGAAAAACCAATATTGAAATGTTAAGAGCAATAAACCGAATGAAAATTAATGTTATTTTGTAATAAATTACTCATATCACTATAACTCATTCACAAGTAAGGTGTAAGCTGATAATTCAAATGCATTACATACAACTTCATGA